AGAATCTGGACACACTGTGTATTCTTAAGCAGAGAACCACAGATGGGGTACACGCGGTATCGTAGTTGGTTGAGGCACTGTGCTACAAGCCAGAAGGGCGCGGGTTCAAGTCCCGATGAGGTCACTGGATTATTTTCAATTGACCTAATCCTTCCAGCCGCACTATGGCCCTGGGGTCAACTCAGCTTCTAACATAAATGAGTACCAGGAATATTCTTGGGGGTAAAGGGCGGCCTGCGCGTAGGGCTCACAACCTTGCCGTCATCTATGAGCCGACTGTCTGGAAAATGTGGGAACCTCAACATCTCACAACCCTATGGGCCTTCACGGCCTGTTACAGGAATACCTTTACTTACTTTTTTTTTACTTACCCCAGAAGGGGGGGAACAATAGTAAAAAGGGATCGACGCCCCTCAAGTTGTCCCTTCACTACAAGTTAATCAGACCACTTCAAAGTTAGAACGTCCGGTCCAATCATTAAATTTCCTGTTTTAGTTGAGGACGTAGTGAATGGAATATTGACTTGAAATGGAATCGATAAGCAGATGTCAAGGACTGAAAACATGTGACAGGCACGGTGCTCCCTCAAAACAAGTTAGGACAACACACAGAGTTTTCATGAGGAAACCTTTACGTGAAATAACTAAGGGGCGAGAGGGATGATTAAACTAGACATTGATTGTGGCGTTGTAGACTTGAATGGCCTGATACGGAATTCGGTCCAATGGCGGACTTTTGTAACGGCTGCAAAATAACTTGGACACTCCAAATAGTAAGTCTCATCACAAAACTACGTTTGACTGTAACACAGCTGTTTACTTCTGGTTGTTTATCTTCGTGGCCTACCACGCTAAGGTGTACCGTGTATGATGTACATGACAAGATCCGTTAAATTAAACTTCTATCATTACTTATTTAATGAACTTCTGTAACTTTCAAGTGACACATCTATACGAATATTCTCTTCTACCGTGAAGATGGTGGTAGCAGGTTCCTCCCGAACGTTGGCTCCGACTACCAAACTACACGGTGTCGAACCCCCAAAATACAATAGCATTAGGTCACCGTTGTGAGAGCCTGAAATCCCATTAAAGCCATTTCAGCGCTGAAGCAAAGCATTAAGAAATATTGCATTTGCATATTGTTTCAATGAAACTCGTTCGTTGGCGCCAACTACAGACCGAGGAATTTTAAGGAACATGGACATCGTAATTTATTCTTATACATTCTCTATAATTTGATATATATTTACTGCCAGTGGTTCATCGTTCGTTGTGACGTGGATGGTGCAAATACGCCACAATATATTTCTTTCCTTCCAATACAATCCGTAACAAATCATAAACTTCTTAATTCAGCAACAACGCGTAAGCGCTTAATTCCTTCAGAACCAGTGCGTGAGCGCTTCCTTACTTCACCAACAATGCGTAAGCGCTTACTTACTTCAGGAAAAATAAGCAGGAACATCCTTACTTCAGTAATGCATTAGCGACTCCTACTTCAGCAACAATGCATAAGTGCTTCAATACTTCAGGAAAAATATACAGACACATCCTTACTTCAGCAATGCATAAGAGACTCCTACTTCAGCAACACTGCGTAACCGCTTCATTACTCAGGAAAAATATACAGACACATCCTTACTTCAGCAATGCATAAGTGACTCCTACTTCAGCAACAATGCGTAACCGCTTCATTACTTAGGAAAAATATACAGTCACATTCTTACTTCAGTAAAGCATAAGCGACTCCTTACTTCAGCAACAATGCGTAACCGCTTCATTACATCACGAAAGAAATATACACACACATCATTACTTCAATAATGCATAAGCGACTCTTCACTTCAGCAACAATGCATAAGTGCTTCAATACTTCAGGAAAAATATACAGACACATCCTTACTTCAGCAATGCATAAGAGACTCCTACTTCAGCAACACTGCGTAACCGCTTCATTACTCAGGAAAAATATACAGACACATCCTTACTTCAGCAATGCATAAGTGACTCCTACTTCAGCAACAATGCGTAACCGCTTCATTACTTAGGAAAAATATACAGTCACATTCTTACTTCAGCAATGCATAAGCGACTCCTACTTCAGCAACAATGCGTAACACCTTCCTTACATCAGAAGCAATGTGTAGGCGCCTTCTTACTTGGGGAAAAATGCGTGCGTCCTTACTTCAGACTGCCTATACAAAGTAAACTGCGCTCAGAATGATGCTACTGAACTAACTGAATTCAGGTCAAAATCGGACTGTTTAATTATTGATAATTTTGCCGATACTTGTTTGGGGCGCAGAGGTTGAAACAAACCCTGCCTATTACTACACCAAATATATATCCGTAGCTATAATGACTGCCATTCACAGTGGCCGCGCGGTCTAAGGCACGAACCGTCTTCGCCCGCTTAAACACAGGGGTCGTGGGTTCGAATCCCACTCGAGGCATCGATGTCTGTCTGCGTTTATTCTGTGTTGTTCTGTGCGTAGGCAGAGCCCTTGCGGCAGGCTGACACCGCGTCCAAGGAGTCCTAAAGACTGTGTATAGATTAAGAAACTGAAAATGCGACCAAGGCGCAACAAAGGGCTGTAGAGCCATAATACCTAGAATAATACAGGTGTTCTTTAGTAAACCTGATGCGTTCACGGCGCTGTGCTTCACGGAGACCGGAGCGCCGCTTGCTCCAGAACGCATCCGAATATTGCCGATGACTCTGCATGCCGATAACATTTGGAATGAAGGGAAGTTCTTACCTTTGTTCACAGATCACAGGAGGTGTTGAAAACGCTGTCCCTCTACACGTCGGTACATATCTTTCAAAATTAACTGTTTAGTTAAATACAACGTACAACAATTCTTCTTGCACTCACAGCACATGAGACACCAACTTTCACTGGATGGCTTCAGCAATTGTGTTGCCGTTTATTACTTAGGCTGTGACACCCCAGTCTCTTGAGCTAGACGTTTCGGTGATTTCCTAGGTGTATGTTCAGGTCTCGCCCTTATATCATCTAACTTCTCCTCAGTAAGTACTGGGCAAGGGCCGCGCCATAGCTCAAGCGGTTAGTCGCTGGCTTCCCACCGCGGCGGCCCGGGTTCGATCCCGAGTCTGGTCAAGTGGGATTTGTGGTGGACAAGGTGGCGCTGGGGCAGGTTTTCTCCGAGTACTTCGGCTTCCCCTGCCAATCTTCATTCCACCAATTGCTCCACAATCACCCTCACCTATCATCTGGGGTGGTACAATAGGCCAGAAGTGGCCGCAGTACAAGGGACTTAGTCCCACCTCACTAGCAATAAAAAAAATACCAACAAGAGAATGTACATTTTTACAGGCATGGTCCAGTGGGCGTGTGCAGTACTTCCCATTGCTGCATACAGATCTCAAATCTGAACGAAAGATCCTCCAGGCGACTGGCCGTAGTCCAGACTACGAACCTTAATTAAAGTCCATCGGGCCTGACAAGGTTTGAAATTCTCGCGTCTGTAACTGTGCAGGTAGGTCGCGATTCCGTGAAATCTGGTAGAACATCACGATCCATTTGAAGGATCTTATTACCTCTGTCTTCATTGTAGAAGTGAGGAGATTCTTCAGGTTTCTCCGAAACGTTGGTAATGATATATCAAACTACACGAGTGCCAGGATGATGTAATATTCATAGCCAACGTGGGAACCTCAAATTTCGCCAGTCTTTTCAGGGTACAAGAGGAGTTATCCTGACGATGGATGTAATAGGTTTCGTCTCTGGACAAAGTATAAATCAAGTCCCAAATTTAATGACCAACGATGTGGTAATTTGCTGCCTGGCCAGGTTTTATTGCACATCTCAGGGGGCGGTGATAGATGAGTACGGAACAACGGCAGAATGATGGCTGGCAGGGGGATGTCGAAGAAATAAGAATGTTCCAGTGCCACTTCGTTCACCACAAATCACGCACACAGTCATCAGGAACTGAACTCAAGCTCCACAGGGCGAAGTCAGCGTCCACCCCCCCCCCTTAGCCATGGCCCGACTGGTACTTATCCAATGTCGTTCTTCAATTTTTGACAACGGATTACTCTTATTATAATATGAAGACATTCCGTTTGGGCTTCATCCACTGTCTGGATAAAAACACAAAATTCGAGATATTACTACAGGTTCGGCAGGGCACTTTAGCCAGACTTTCCTATCTTGATCAGCTGGTGCGGTCAGAAAGGACGACAATACGTAACGGTAAGGCACAGCCTTTTTCTTTAAATGTGCCACACTATGACTCAGCCCCTTTTCTGTGGGTCGCACGGTCAACTTCAGCCCGGGCCGCTCAAAGTCTTTCTGGGCGTGGTGATGAAGGGCTGCAAGTCTCTTCCTGGACTTGAACCGAGACCGTTCATCCCTTACCAGTAACTTTATCGACTGAACTGTATAGGTTTGTAGTAACAGAAGCCAGAAAACAGTCACTAAAACGTTCGTTACGCTTTCTTTACACGAATTGGATAAAAATTCTGCCCGTATATTTAAAAAACTACTAAACAGGTTTCGATAAAACTTGACACTAGGCAATGGAGCAACTGGTAGAATGAAGATTGGCAGGGGAAACCGAAGTACTTGGAGAAACCCTGCCCCAGCGCCACTTTGTCCACCACAAATCCCACTTTACCAGACCCCGGGATCGAACCCGGGCCGCCGCGGTGGGAAGCCAGCGACTAACCGCTTGAGCTATGGCGCGGCCTCTCGTCATACGTAACTCAAACTGAACTTAAATACTATCTATTTTCTATTAAACCAATGTGGTAAATGACCAACACAACCAATGAGATATACAAAACTGTTGGCTACACACTCGAAAAATGCGGACGCAAATACTAAGTCCCGACACCAAACTGATGAATATTTCGGTAAAAAAGCTGTAGACCGTCAAGAGAAAATTATCTAATGTTACATAAAGTGAGTTTTTAATAAAAATATTTTATGAATGAAGAACTACTACATGTAGATACATTATTTCTTATACCTGCTGAAATAATGGCATTTCGTAGTCAAATATCCATGCTCCACGTGGAACTGCACATTCCAGTTTCGTTCATCACAGGCACTTCCGCAGGAAAAATGTTCATTGCAAATTAAAAATATATCACACCACACTGGAAACGGTCCTATATAATAACGACAGGGCACTTCGCGAATAAAAATACACTCTTTTTATTAAAACAAATTACTGTCATTACACCGTTACCACCAACTACATCTAGTTCTACTATTATACTACTATTACTACCACTACTACTATTGCTACTACTGTGATTACCACCAATATCGGTACTACTAATTGATAGGTTGCGCTAACCTTAACTGCAGCCTCTGTCCTCCATGAGTTCCGAGGCCTGTGACGTGCGCTTAACAATTTGAAGCGCAACAATAAACCCTGTCCTACGTCATAAATAACTTACGATCAGCCCCTTTCACACTAGTAAATAGCAGGTTCCCGTCCCCCCCCAAAGATAAATTCCACACTCAAAAATAACGTTCAACACTATGTAAGTTTATAAAATTCACCGTACATCATTCACGAATTAACATAATCGCGCCTCACACACTAAGCGTGCTACGAGCTGCACACAAAATGTGAGTGAGTTATTTTTTTTGAAAAATTGCTGTTCGCAACAACACAAGCGACAGTTGAGTGGCAGCTTACCTAGGTGTCACTCTTCGTCATTAATGGCGGTCGTCTCCTCCCAATCTCCTCGGCTATGCAGCTGGAAGTTTGAAGGGGTAGTCAGAAACGAGAAATTTGTTCATGTTTTCATTGTTTACTTCGATAATTCATATGTGTGTCATATAACTTTATATTATTTATAATTCTCATAATTCTGCATTGTTAAAAGTTAATAAATATCGTAAATGTAATCAGGCCCTGTTGCGTTTGAATTCCCACACACCCTTCATACCCACTTTGAAGGTCGTCCCCTTCTTCAATAACTGTCTGTGGGGTTGAGCTTAAATATTACTTGTATTCACTGAAACTAAATACTTAAAATGCTTTCACTCCTGCTGTACAAATAACACAGTTCTAAACTGCATCAATACATAGATTATATACTATTTATTAAGCACACACAGAGTAAAATACCCTGAAATGTGAAAATTAGTTTCGGTCACGCCCACTGTGACGTATGCTCGCACATTCTGGCATGAAATTCCTGCACGTGCATGTCCTACCATCTGTTAGAGAAAAGTCGAAGTTAGGGATGCCTCCGTGATGGACTTGCAAAGAATTAGTGCAGATTGAAACCCCCACAGATTACAGATTAATTCTGTTATCACTAAGATGCTAGACTGTGTGCATTTGTCAACAGCCCGCATCGCTTACATGCCTTCAAGATTCAAGATTCCATCTTACGCCTTTTAAGCAATAACCCATGCCTGTCGTCCCACGGTCACCATCGGTCACCATTATCAAGTAGAGAGCTATGCCTTCATTGTGTTTGATCTAAGGTGACAACAGTTTTATCTTCTGGGACGTGATATCATGCAGCCCGGTTGAAGTTTACCGACTTTTCGGAGGAACGTACTGCCACCATCTTCAGGATCTAAGAACAAGCAACAAACAGAAAGGGACAAGCTGCTGAGCTCGGCGACTGGAGAAGTAAGCTCCACAGAACCCACAGGCGGGCCGCATTATAAAAACACTTTTTTCTTTTTCAGTAAAACGACTCTCCTTTTAATTCGAATGGTCAGGCAACTGGACCATGACGAACGCGTAATTAGGCCGTCAGAGGCGCGTGGTCAACGGTGCTTAAAATTCAGCAGACAGACGACTGCGTACCATAGCAGCAACCTACTAATCATACTTTTCTAATTTATTTATTAGGTGCTATGTGAAAACAACTAAAAAACTGTACAACGTATCTAGTTAGCATTTTTCGACAAGATTCACCGGCCGATTAACACATAGTTTGCTGTCCAAAAACGTAAAAATTAGAATATACAAAACTAAAAATTTGCCTGCGGTTCTGTATGTGTGAAACTTGGTCTCTGACATTAAGGGAGGAACATAGACTGAAGGTGTTTGAGAACAGGGTGTTGAGGAGAATATTTGGACCGAAGAGGGATGAAGTGACAGGAGGTTAGAGAAAACTGCATAATGAGGAGCTTCATAACTTGTACTATTCTCGAAGTATAATTAGAATGATCAAGTCAAGGAGGATAAGGTGGGCATGGCATGTAGCACGAATGAGGGAAATGAGGAATCCATATATGATATTGGTGGGAAAGCCAGAAGGAAAAAGACCACTGGGGAGACCAAGGCATAGGCGGGTGGACAATATTAAAATGGATCTTAAGAGAGATAGGATGGGATGGTATGGATTGGATTGATCTGGCTCATGACAGGGACCAGTGGAGGGCTCTTGTGAACATGGTGATGAGCCTTCAGGTTCCATAAAATGCTGGAAAATTCTTGAATAGCTGCAGATTTGGCTTCTCCTCAAGAAGGGCTCAGCTCCATAAGTATATAAGTAAGTAAGCCTTTGTATACAGTCTGTCCACATCTCTTTTCCCTTACTGCTAGCCTGTAATTTGCCTCCCAGCTGAAGTCAAGCACTTCAAGAATGAACTGATAAACAAATTACTACTAGTGTTTTATTTTGATAACTCTAAATGGCTCCTGCAGCTGTTGAGTCAGCATATCAAAATAATTAACCATCAGCTATCTTAGAACTTACTACTTAGCACAGATTTGATCTCTTTACAATTTCTTGGGTGTACCATCACAAATCTGTACTTCAGTGTGGCTGGAAACCTGTACAGCTTGTTGTTCATCTAAGTAATGACTAACATGGGTATTTAGAAAAGTCTCTAGGTTAAAGAGACTAGTAAGGTTTCTCTTTTTGTAGGCGCATTTGCGTACCTGCAGAATGGCTATTCAAATCACTTGATCCATCCTTCTGTATGCGTGAAACATTTAAGAACCATGAATGGATTTTCATGAAACTTGACACTGAGCTTCCTTGAAGACCAACATGCATTTTTGGGCACATCTTGAGTACATCTCACTAAATATTTACTGGCACACAAAATGTTTTGTACAGCAGTTGCAATGAGAAATGAAGCATAGGGAGAAATCTGGCAGAATCTTCTAAGGCAGGCTATGATCAAAATTACCATCTTACAAGTCATCATCATGACATTACATGGTATAATACATTACAAACTATAGTTAAGTTTTATTCCTATTTAGTACAATATGTGTGTATATTAAGATGATTAGTACGTCAGCAAGGTTCGATTCTGGGTCCATTGTTATTCCTCATTTATATAAAAGATTTACCCCCCAAAAAACTATAAATGATAAAACTGTACCTATATTATTTGCAGATGACACTAGTTTGTTAGCTAAAAGTTCAAACTATGATGATCTCTGTGTAAATATAAATAATGCTTTTCATAGTATAAATGAATGGTTCAAAGTAAATCAACTTTCTATAAATTTTAACAAAACCCACTACATTCAATTTACAGCTAAAAATAATAATCCTAAATCTGAAATAAAAACTGTATATGATAAAAAAACAGATTACATCTATATCCAATATTGTGACCAGAAGATGAGGAAGAAGACGTAAGAAGATGCTGGATGTCCTTGGGGACAGAAGAGGATATTTTCATTTGAAGGAGAAAGCTCTAGATCACATCAAGTGGAGGAACTGTTTTGGAAGAGACTGTGGACCTGTCATCTTGACAGATTACAGATGAATGAATGAATCCAATATTAAATTTCTTGGAATATTCATTGATGACACAATGAGCTTGAAATACCACATTTAGTATATTAGTTCTAAACTAAGTTCTGTCTGCTACATAATAAGATCACTTAAACCATACACATCCATAAACACCTTAAAAATGGTTTATCACTCTTATTTTAATTCTAATATAAGTTATGGTTTACCCTTTTGGGATAACTCATCCCAAAGTATAAAAGTTTTTAGAATGCAAAAGAATATAATTAGAATTATGTTGGGACGCAGGAGGAGGGATTGGTACATACTATCTCTTATGCTCTTTGTGATAAAAAACATAAACAATTTGATAGAATAAATACCAGACAGCAAAATAATCTCCATCAGCCTCTTGTAAATTTAAGTAAATAACAAAAGGGAGTTTACTGTTTTGGAACAAAGGTCTATAATAATCTACCACAACATATTAAGGATATATCGAGTGACACTAAGAGTTTTGAGGTACAATTAAAACAATTTTTATATTTACATTCTTTTTATTCTTTATAGGAATATTTTGGTTATAAATCTTTTTAAGATGCGAGTAGCTGTCTTGCTTTACAATTCAAAGAAGACAAGATTGTCAGTCTGTGTTCTGATTTTTAGATGCTTATTTTAGATATACACAATCTTTATATCACTGTATACTAGTCTTTATTTCAATTTATTATATAATTAATAGACTTGTATAAAAGTGTACAAATTGTATAAGGTATTACTCTTACTACCAAAATTAACTTATTTATTATATTGTATATGTTTATCAGTATTTTATTACAAATGTGTATGCTATTGGATGACAACTGTAATTCTTAGTTGTGACTGTAACTAGAACGATCTCCACATCCACATGAGAATGTATTCTCGACAGGATTTATGGAAGGTGAATAAATGAAATGAAATGAAAACAGATTGCCAAATGAAGTTCAATCCTTCAATTCATGTATCATGTGCCTTATTCAAGTCTTGGGAAGTTATAATCAGACCTAAGCAGCCTCCGTAGTCTAGAGGTAACGTTCCCACCTCATGACTCGTGGTACGCAGGTTCAAATACCCGGCGGAGGTCGTCGAATTTTTAAGGGCGGAAAAATTCAGGGAACAAGTCCTCCGGGAGGGACTTTAAGCTGTGTGTCCCGTGTCGTAACTTTATGGCACGTACAAGAACCTCATATCCCCAAAGGGGATCACTGAGCCAAATTCCAGGACGTTTCCCGCCCAACAATAGTCTCTAAGGCCTCTGATAGATGGGGGAAGCATTATAGACATCGCTAAGCAAGTGGCCGAACTCGCTTGCTCGGCGGGACTCATGGTACGCACCATTTATCGGTAGGGTAAAGAGACTGGTAGAATATCATAGAGGGAAGCACAATAGATCAAACTGGTCGCGGTGCATGGGGAAACCCACCCTCTCTAAATAACTAACTAACTAACTAACTAACTATAATCAGACCTACTTGCTTACTCTGCTGTTCAGATAAATTTATGGTTAACCTGAATTAAAAATGGCCATGCTCAGCTGCTTTTTAAAAAATCCTATGTTTGTTATGCCCCAAAAGTTATGGCAGGTAGATATGTTTTTCGGTTAATTTAGAATAAGTGTTTTTAGACGATAAGATTAAGAAATAGAAATAATGAAATGTACCCGTAAGCTGGAGTTTGCAAAGAAGGGTAATGCAAGTAGTGAGGCAACTTTTTTGTAATCCGAATGTTAGCATGACAGCGTAATAACGCTGACACTAAGGGAGAGCCTATATGAAAGTAGACCAGAAAGAACTAGGGCATTACGAAATCGCTGAGTCAGAGAGGGCGGTAAACTAGAAAGTGCAAACCCCCTTTCGATAAACAGCCAATGAGAGCAAACCACCCCAACCAAATTCACGTCAGGATGGGCGGGTGCCCATGGGTCTGCTTCGTCAATACAAGTAAGTGGACCTACTTCATATAAGCCATGAACATTAAGTGTGATAATATTAAAGTGCAAACCCCTGAGAGAGAAAGTGAGGACCAGACAGACTAGGCTTAACAGAGAAAGCGAGAGACAGAGGGACAGGATACCCGATAGCCGGGTGGCAGGAGGAGAAAGAATGTCTGTACTACAGGTTTAATAACCTAAGGTAATGCGAACCTGACAAACGTCGGCAAATTGTGTATATATTGTGTATACAGGGATATAGGAGAATAGAATAGAATAGAAATGAAGTGTAACGTTAATGAATTTATCATTCCCTCATGTGCGAATCCTTCTCCCTGATGACCCCAGCATCCCCCGAATCCTTCAAGAGAATTGCAAACTCAAACCAAGGCCTCAGTGATTAATGAATTTACCTAGCCCCCCCCCCTTGTGGCAGTACAGTTGGTGGCAGCGGTGGGATTAGCCATAGAAAGTTGGCTGACGGAGTGAATAAGTAATGTGTTTTTTCCCACCCCTGTCACCGAGGTATAACAATGTTACCTGGTAAGGCAGGAACTTCACATTAGGGGTTATTCATAATTAATGGGATTTCCAGGTTTTGGCCAGTGTTGGGAAAATAAGACTCTGGTGGCACTTGAAGGCAATCATTAGAATGCTGAAAGCTATAGTTCTAGCCAAAACTAACTCTGTGGTTAATTTCCATTACTGTTCTAACATTAAATGCATACAGAATTATTGTAGGGAGAGCTTTTGGGAAGTGACTACTAAAATGTCTGTGACAGACATAAAGTCAGGGGTTAATGTTAAAAAGGAAAAACTTGGCAGATAGAGAGGAACTGCTTTAGAAATATAATCAGTACTGAGCCCATAGGTTATATCAAAGTTAGACTTGGTCTCCTGCATTGACACCATACAGTCTTGTAGACAGAGGAACACACTGCCTCCATTATCAGGGTTGAAGTGTGTACGGGGAATATCTCCTGCTTTCTCTCTCTACCCTGTTGCTCCCACTTTGGAGCACAGGGCATCTGTAAAATGCTTTGTTTCACTTTGGTTTCTTAATCCTAAGACAGTCGATAGGACTTCTTGCACGGGCAATAAGCCAGTTAGAAGGCCATTACTTACACAGGACAATAAACACAGACATCCATGCCTTGAGTGAGATCTGAACCCACGATCCCAGTGTTCCAGTGAGCAAAGACAGTAGGGGAAGAACTGTATCACTTACATATGCTGGCTGCAAAGAATGCAGCATTGGGACCCATGGAAGGGGATAAGGAAATGAAGCCTGATCTGAGCCAGTAAGAACAAGGGGTAGGGTTAAGGGCCTTTTCAGGGGCACACTGTTTCCTGGTACAAAAAGGAAATGGAATTTGAGAAAAGCTGTCTCTTTTTTTGGAGACATAATATTCTTTCTTTGTTATGTGAGAACATGTAAAATTCTGTTAAAAGACCATAATCTGAATGAACACAGCTGTGAGAACATCAGAAATTTTATCAGAGCTAGGCACTTTATGGTGGAAACATCTGGGAAAAATATGACTTTGTTTGGTGTAGAAAAATGTACAATGTACTCCTACAATTTGCTTGGTCTTCTTGCTAACAGCAAAAAATTAAAACACAACATACACAGGAAGAGTTCTGTCTTCTAGAATGTCATGATGTGTATTCTGGTAAAAGTCTACCAGTGTTTCAGAGGAACATACTGCCTCCATCTTCAGGATCAAAGGGTAAACAATGCAAAGAAATAGCAAGGAGGGAGTATGCAGAGCCTGAATATATCACCTTCATCTTCAGGATCAAATAATCAAAAATTCAACCATATATGTTTATTTTTAAAATGTATAAAAGCATTATAGCTCCAACTGGTAAGCCCAGTTCAGTCAAAGAATGCCATATCATGACACATTTCTGACAACCATTCCATCAGCAGGGTGAACTTGTAGTCTCTGGATGCACTGTACTGATGCATCACTTCCCGTATGCACAAGGCAATCAGGTGCAAGATCCCCTGCAACACATGAAATAAAAGTAAAACTGTTCTGGTGGAGGAATAGCTCCATGCATTCTTAACATCAGCCCTAAACAGGGGAGAGTGGGAAACTTCATACCGCAGCTATTTTACCACATGTACCCATCTGATAGGAGGCTACGTGGGCCCTAGATCTGGTCTGGACACAGTGGTGAAGAGATTCCCCTTGCCTTGACCAGGAACTGAACCACGATTCTCTTGCTGTCAAACCTGTAGCTTTGTCTCCATGCTGACTGAGCTACACTGACTTGCATGTCTACATTTGGTCTTATTTTATTCTTATCCCATACTCTAGCTTCTTCTCATGATATTTCAGAAAATTATGTGAAAAAGTCATACAAGGAAAGCTAAATGTAAAATTTTTCCTGAGCTTTGTCCTTTGACTGGCAAGTGCCATTACTCACCCACCCACTTTGAGCTTAAGGCATTTGTGAAATGATTCGTTTCACTTCAGCTTCTTAATGTTAGGCAGTCAGTAGGACTCCCCACAGGGAGAATCAGCCCATTGCAAGGCCAAGTCCTTAGACAAACAAACAGCTATGCCTTTGCGTGTGACTCAAACCCATGATCCCATCATTTAAGCAGGCAAAGAAATTTCGTGCCTTAGACAATGCAGCCACTCTGATCAGCCATCACAAAACTACCTGCTTCAAATACCAAGGCTGGTCAAGAGTAAATGCAGCTGCTCAGAAAAACTAACAATACTTCCTCAAATGACCTTTAAGTGACTACATATATTCACAATGTGAAAGCTTATTATATCTTCTAAATATCAGTACCTCACATCTGATGCCATCTTCTGACAGAAATGCCATACTAAATTCTTAACATCAAGCCAATCTACTCAGCTGTGGTACTTTTAATGCAAATACAGTGACGTGATGTAATTGGCTCCTGGAGTGGGAAGTGTTAATTACTCACCCAAACCATGAACACAGAGGCAGGGGTGGAGGTATAGCTCCACACATTCTTAGCCTTGGTTAAGTAAAGGTCAGTGGTCAACTGAGAAGAGACTTTAGTACCCACTTGATAGGAGGCTGGGTGGGCCCCAGCCCTAGTCTGGACAGTACGGACATGATGGCTCCTGTCACGAATCAAATGCCAGTTCTCTAGCTATCCAACTTATAGCGTAACTCTGCTTTGGCAGCTTATTCTCTTAACATTTAAGAAATGTATAAGAATAAAACATTTATCCCATCACATTATTTCAGGTAATTAACTCCCAGAGAGAGTTAAGGTATCCTCCATATTTCTAGGTTCAGATTATACTGAAAGGCTGAAAATATATAAATCACCAGGTACCGATCAAATTCTGGCAGAAGTGATTCATGCAGGAGGTGGAGCATTACATTCTCAGATCCAAGAAATTTTTAATGCTATTTGGAATACTGAAGAAATGCCTCAGCAGTGGAACAAGTCTATCACTGTACTAATTTAAAGAAAGACAATAAACCAACTGTACTAATTATCAAAGCACATTGTCACTATCAACTTCATACAAATTTTTAATTCTCTCCAACTCCAGATACAGATGAACTACTGATTATATTTTAATTTGTTAGAAACTGGAGAAAAAAATTCAGTACAATGGAACAGTATATCAGCTATGTACGCATTCTGAGAAAACGTATGATTCAGCCAGAAGAAATGTTTTGTACAATAATCTCAGCAAATTTGGTATACCTATGAAACTAGATGACTTATTTACAGTACTGTGACATGACATCTGAAAGACAGTATAGTGGAGCCAGAAAAGACAGCCGTGGCTACATAGCGGCCGATAAATACAGGGTGCGGCAGCATAATTTGCTGATTTGAAGGGTCAATAAAACAAAAGATGTTATAGGTATCGTTGTAATTATTTTTTCTCCATATTCTACAACATTGGAAATTTACGTTTACTCTGTTTTAAAAATTGTAGCCAACAAGTGGCACCCCCCATTGGCGATACACTGATTTGCCTGAATTCTGAAGTGTCGGTCGACTCTTTCCAGCATAGCGATGGGTAAGTTGGCTATGGCTTGGCGAATATTCTCCTTCAGTTGAGCAAGGGTCCTTGGACGATCGGTGTACACGAGGGATTTCAGATACCCCCATAAAAAACAGTCACAAGGGGCTATATCGGGTGAGCGTGCCGGCCACTGAAGATCGCCCCTCAAAGAAATCAGGCGCCTGGGGAAGCGTTCCCACAAAACACGCATTGCAGTTCGCGCCGTGGCTCCATCCTGCTGAAACCACACATCCCCAACATCCATTTCATCAAGACTTGGCAAAAAAAATTCTTCGATCATTTTCACATAGCGAACAGAATTCACTGTAACTGCAACCTCATTCTCTTCAAAAAAGTAGGGACCAATAATCCCTACTCTCGACAGTGCACACCAAACAGTTACACGTTCACAATGAAGGGGCCTCTCATGAAGTTCTTGGGAATTGTTATCACTCCAGAAGCGCATGTTTTGCTTGTTCACACATCCAGAAAGATGGAAATGAGCCTCGTCACTAAAGAACACAAGCGCATCATCAGGCAAAGTTTCAAGGAACGCTTCACATGCATGTTGCCTAGCAGCAAAATCGCATTCAGTGAGTTCTTGCACCACAGCCAACTTGTAAGGATGAAAGTGGAGGTCATCATGAAGAATTCGCCTGACAGAACGATCAGACATTCCAAGGGCAGCTGCATGCTTGTGTGCTGGGCGCCGAGATCACAAAAAAGACTGCCTTACCGCCTAAATGTTTTGGGGTGATCTGACGGGCCATTCCCCTGATCTTCTCTTTTCCACACTGCCAGTTCTCCTGAATGTGTTTGCCCATGTAACAATCGATTTCCAACCAGGAACACGAGCTCGGGCAGAAATTCTGAAGTGTGCGCGGAATGCTCACTGTTTGGCGATGATTGAGCGTCCGTTAGAAAAGTAAGCCTCTAAGGCAAACGTGCGCTGTTCCTTCGTCCAACGCATTCTCGGTACTAAAGTAGAAGGAAGAACAAACTTCCCGACCCACCTGTTCAAATGAGACCATCCGCACCCTCTAATGGCCAAACCTCGCTTCCTGGCGCCAAATTCAAATCAGCAAATTATGCTGCTGCACCCTGTATGTGTCCTTGGCAAAGGATATGCATGCAACAACAGAGGAACTGCTGAAAACAGTGTTTTCTATTTGGCTTGTGCAGAGACTGTACAGTGAGAGCCATCAGGAAAAGTTAGCCAGTCATGGCTGAGAAGTGGACGTATTTAGAGCCATGGGTCAGGTGCCAGTAAATGCTGGCCTCTTCACAATAAGAGCATTCTCTTTCCATCACAATTTGGAATTAGCTGCTTGTTTGGCTGCTACCTACTTCCTTTCTTACCCTGTCAGCGAGTGTCTTCAACTTCACATTCATCTTAATCTGAGTGACTTACACGTTCAGCTATCACACTAGCATCAACCGTGACTTGGCACAAAGATAACCCCCTTACTAGTACTTAGTCTCAGATTTACTATCTCAAGGTGACTGAGCAGCAACGTGATCAGAATGCTGATGCCAACTTCATTAACATAATTGGCCTACTTTTAGACAAAAATATGTCACCCCTTGGCCACTGACCTTGATTCTTTTACGGTGTGTGATGAAATTACAAAAAGAGAGAAGACATAAAGCAGTGTGACTGTTAATAAAACACTAACACAACAAGAAGGAAAACAAACCCAGCAAGAGGAGCAATAAACGAGATGATCAGTTTACACTGAAGTGTTATGACAAAAGAGTTCTGCTCTTGAACAGTCAAACTATAAACTCAGGGCCATCAGAGAATGAAACATTCATGATGACATTTCACACAGTTGTATTGCTTGCAGATTTTTGAACTATGACTTGGTATGAGTTTTTTGGTATGACATAAGCTCTGAGATGCCTGAAAGTGACAGACCTAATTATAAATCAGACAATTTTACTGAAATAGACCAACACACATATTAAAATTATACACCAGCATCTTGTTGTACTGTGCAGATTTGATTCTCTTCCTTTATTCTGCGGTCTATGTGTAACAGTGGTTGTATTTGTTCTTTTTTCTGGGTGCCAAGATAGATGATGTTACTTTAATGTGTGCATAATTTAAATTAGTCTCATTTTGGGGCATGTTCTATTAAATTAATATTTGCATTGCAATGGAGCAGTTTCCTTTTACAGTATAAATATTTAAAAATGTTTTCTGTCTGATTAGCTTCACAACTTGTACTCTTCTCCAGGTATAATTAGAATGATCAAGTCAAGGAGGATGAGGTGGGCATGGCATGTAGCACGAATGGGGGAGAAGAGGAATGTACAAAGGATATTGGTGGGAAAGCCAGAAGGAAAGAGACCACTGGGAAGACCAAGGCATAAGTGGGTGGACAATATTAAAATGGATCTTAGAGAGATAGGATGGGATGGGATGGTATGGATTGGATTGATCTGGCTCAATATAGGGACCAGTGGAGGGCTCATGTGAACACAGTAATGAACCTTGGGGTTCCATAAAATGCTGGGAAATTCTTAGACTGCCTGGGTGATTATTAGGTTCTCAAAAGACCCCAAACAGCTAAGTTTTCTTCATGCCTGCTGTAGGTCCCACCCCCCTCCCTTTACATTTAATCCACATCACAATATTAGGATTGTTTAGTAATACTGAGTGAATATTCCCCCCCACCCCCAAAAAATTAAGCAAGTTGAATTAACATACTGCACCAAATCTTACAAAATGTACCTGAGGCCAAGAGCTCTGAAGTAGCTCCATACACTGCTGTTCCAGCGAGTCGGGCAGGAGCACACCACATGACAGCAGGTGTGCCAACAGTCCAGCTAGACATGTCCAAACTTTGCCTGCTGCATGTCTCGACTGTGACAGCAGCAACATGTTGCGTGGACATAGAACATGCAGCAAAGCGTCACACTCCTCACAGACACGCCACACACTCACAAACTGCTCCATGAGCCCTGTGGTCATCATATCTGGGTAACGCGCAACTTGAAAGCAAAAGGAAAGCTATCACTCCATATGAACAGTCAGACAGCAATCAGAGGGTTGATTCATGATATCTAGGACACTGTTCAAAGGTCTATATTGTCCACAGGCATGGTTTGGTTAACGCTTTTCAGCGTACTGAGCTCTAACACACTGGAATTTAAATACCTTCCTCCCACTGATTAGCATCCAGTTAGTCTCCAGCAAAACAGCAAAGTCAGATTGCAAGGTCCTGGTAATTGCTGTTAATGCAAATGGTAACTATTTATAATTTATTACAGTGAGATCATGAAAATAGTGTTCCTGCATTTAATCAATATTTTTCTGGCTCTGGAGTAAGCCCCACATAAACAACGCATTATTTCCCCATGTTTAATGAATTTCAACTTAGTAAATTACCCACATTTGGCTTAAGAGATTTTCGATCTTCCAGAACTCACACCTTAATTAGTGGGCTGTGGTGAAAACAATAATTAATTTATGTGTTTATGTTTACCCTCTGCATAAATTACTGTAAAACCATAATCTTTGGCCAGAGACATCACACAGGACAAGCACTGTTCATAGCAGCACAGTTGCTTTGGTTCTCAGCTGAGGATCTTTCCGTATTTATTTCATATTATGTCATTAGTTTAGATATAAACATGGCATTGCTGATTATGTGACAAATATTTATCTGCGTGGAAATAGTTTATCTAAATACTTACATACAGAAATTATAACTATATATACCATCTTATGAGAAGTTGAAAAAAAAAAATTTTTTCATGTATTTTTGAATAACTCCCATTTATTAAAAACCCCAAGAAAGGCCATTCCTCCAGAGATTCATGAAATAGAGATTTTCACTACATTACAAAGGAAGAATAAGGGGAACAAATTTCTTTTGCAAATGAGGACATAAAACCAAACGTTTTTTAAAAAATTTCTGTCTACAAGGCTGATGAAGGGAACTGAAGAGAAGTGAATCATGAAGGTGTTTCAAATATCATCAACTGCAGTAACTGTCATGGAATCCTTCCACAGACAAACAGTCTAGGAGTCCAGAAAGTGTCTAAAGAAAATCTGTAAAGGTGACCAGAAAGTCAATTTTGGTAGAGACAATGGTATATCATTCACAGTAAGCTTCATGAAAATCAGTCCATTGGTTAAAAAATTAAAAGGATAAAACAGATAATGCACATGGTATAGTGACCTCACAAGTCTACGTTTCTTCTAACATAAAACCATGAGTTACATTAAAAGGACATCACAAATTTAGCAAATTTCCTAATTCTTCAGCAAATATCTATGTGAGGTTTGTGGTTCTCACAACAATGACTATGCCGAACACTATCTTCTGGGAAGTGACATCATAATATTCTGGAAGAAGTTTATTAACATTCATCTGAGTCACTGGATGACATCTGAAGGTTACATGGCATCACTTCTGCGAGGACAATACTCTTCAGCACCATCTAGATTTTGACATAATCTGGACAATGAATAAATAAATGGATTAATTGGTAATTATAACAGAGATCGAAAACTGTTAGTGACAAATTGAGGGATGCTTATCATCTGTTCCAAGTAGCTACTCTGTGGAGCCAGGATAGTGCAGTTGGCACTGTAACTAGCTACAGGCTGCACAGCAAAGGGTCAGAGTCAAGGAGTCAGAGGGGTGAGAGCTGTCTTCTCTCCACATTGTCCAGCCAAGTTCCGGGGCCCACCCAGTCTCCTATCCAATGGGTACTGGGCGCTCTTTCTAAGGGCATAAAGTGGGTGGTGTGTGAAGCTGATCACTCACCTCCAACTAGTGCGGAGGTCAAGAATACATGGATCTATACCTCCACTCCCCCATATTCCTTCATGGTGTAGCAAGCACTTCATTAGTTAAGCACAGGGACAACTTCTTTTATGGAGTCCATGTTAATGATTCAGGGCACCACAGCATTCACTGCCCATGCATTTCAGTAATGTTAAAAGCATGTCTGCATGATCCACATAGCCAAGAGTTTCATTTTCTCAGTATTACTAATAATGTTATGCCCTAATGTAAAAATTCAGCTGTCAGCTTTGCAGTATGGGAGGCTTTAAAATTCCCCATTTCTGGCCAGTAAAGGTTAATACTGCAGCTAGCACAGTAAATTATTCAAGCATTCACACCTCTACACTCATGAAGCCAGAGATGATCCTCAACATGAAACTACAATAACAAAGACTACCTCTCTATTCCATCATGGAATTTAAGTCTTAGAGCAGAAATAAACCACAGTGAAACCTATACTTCAAACTTGTTAAAGGACTGCAAAAAACAAACATGTAAAAATAGGAGAAATACCAATGTTACAACACAAAGAAAACTGTCATCTTCTTTATATCATAATTCTTGAGAATCATTTAAACATACATGTTTGAACACTAACAATGTAAATGTAAATGAAAATATGGTTCTAGTTTTATTTTACAATACATTATAAACTGCTGTCTTTATGTAACATCAGTAAGATGAGATGGTGATGATAACTAGTGAACAGAACGGATGTGGAAGGAAGTGGTCAAGCACTATGCCAGCATTTGCCTGCAATGACTGACAAGTTGGGTACATACCCAGTTACACTATTTGTTACTGAATAATGTACTGTTCTTCAGATGAGCTGCACACTGATAAAAATAATATTTTTCGATTTTTAGCACCTAGTTTCCTAACCAGCTGTGTAAGGTAATATTCAAATATTTTGTCGGTCATCCAAGACCTTGTATTAGCTTTATATTTTGTAGGTGGTCTCTTGACATTCACAAAACAACATGGACATCTGTATTTTCAAATTAGTAGAGTGGCAGTTTATCATTACCACCTTCATTGCACCTGAGGACAGTGACCTGCTGTTTAGATTCTGTATAACCATGGCAAGTGTCCTTGAAAACAGATGGTACTGCTACTTTCTATACTGAATAACAGACTTGTTTCTTCAGCGTTATTTAAGGTACAGTGATAATAACCTTCGATTTCTTGCAACTGTTGGCAATTTTTCCAGTGTTCTACAGTTTCTGAATTGACACTTCTATTCTCATTGATACAGCTCTGCAAGCAATACTGTTTCTCCCCTTAAATCTGCCACTCCAACCACTGGAAGCCAAAATGTTGGCTACTTCTGGAGAAGCAGGGATGTGTAAACACTCTCTTTGAGTTGGGTGCCATCCATGGAAGCATTACTCTCACATGTTTGCTCGAAATATGCAGCAAGTGTAGATTCCAGTACCTCCAGTGGCGAACATTTCAATGACTTCCACTGTTTGGAGAAAGGTCTACACCAGACAAAACTTCTTCCAGTTTCTTCATGGTTCTTCATAACAGGGTTTAGTGTGGACACAGAAAGTCTCATCCATGATGCCTGTTCACCATTAGTTCCAATATATGCATTAACTAGTACCAAAATATCTGCTTGATCACTTACTATAAGTGATATTGGTTTTCCTTTACTATTCATATTTCATCCTTTTGTGAAATTGATCTCAGTGCATAACCAAATTTGTGTTTTATGAAGTGAAGACATATGGGCATAGGAAAATCGAATAATTTAACTTGGGCATTTTATGAAAACAGTAGTCACTGTGCTGAAATGGTCATTCTTTGGTACACTTGTCAGATACGAAGTGTGTTCAGGAAATAACGGGAATTTTAAAATTTCGCGGGTTTGGAGAGTCCAATTGTCAAAATTTTTTTTTATTATGTTGGTATACATTGCCCCTGAAGAACAATAAATTTTC